CTTAAGTGACCTGAAATTTATTACTGACTGAGTGGAAAATTGTAAATTTAAGTATAGAAAAACTGTACTTCACACTGGATTACTATGGATTACTAAATCGTTGTAGATTGAAATTTAGTCAATTTTTTTGCGGACTTGGAAAATACCGAAAATTTTGATTGCAATATATATATATATATTAACCAAAATACTCAATTTTAAAAGTTTCTTGAGGCTGCATTGTTTTGCATTCAAAATTTAAAAAAAAAAAAGTAATAAAACAGAGTTTGACCACATTGCAATGAGAAACTGTCCTGACCTGCTCCAAGTCCAACTATGAAACGAGCTATTAGCATATACCATTTGATACTAACGCCACTAATGGCTGGTAATAAACCGTAGAGCAAATTACCGAATGCCATCAAGAAAATGCCGAAAGTTGCTGGATATTTAGTCGACATAACCTTCTGACTCCAATAGCCAAACAGAAAAGTTGAAATGGTCGATCCAATTGAATATGAGGCAATGATCCAACCGAAAAAATCCAAATTTGCGCTAGGATCAAGCTTAAGACAGTACTTTTAAAAACATCAATATATAAAAAATCACAATTATATCGTAATAATTGTTGAAAATCTCAAAAATCAAAAAAATATCCTGATTTTATCAAATATTTGTAATGTGTTCTTCTTTTAATATTATATTTAGTAATTGTGATCAAAGAATTCTTCGAGATTTTATATTTTGAAAAATTTAGTGATCTTTGCAATAATTTTTTTTTATTAAACGTTTCGTTCCAACAAAATTAAATTAGTATGAAAAGACTAAGCTGATTCATTTTTTTCATTACATCTTAATTTTTTCACTTTACCTAACATTTAACTATTAAGTAAACGCTTTGTCAATTTGCTTTAAAATAAAGTTATTACATCTTTTGCTGTAGTTTACGTTGAAAGCGCTGAAAGCTCAAATACGAATAAAAAAAAGAAAAACGTTTAAAGTAATCTTCGATTCCTTATTGCAAATTAATTAAACGCTTTTCTTTATTCATATTCAAAACGTGCATAAAAAAATTTTGATTGTTGTGAGAGTAATGAGAACAGATTTTTGACCTCATAATTCAACGATCAAAATACTATGTTTTTTGACTTCATAATTCAACAATCAAAATACTATGTTTTTTGACTTCATTTGTTTACGTTGTAAGCATTCATGGTGGAAATTCATTCATTTCACGTGCTCTGTGACTTTTTAATCCTTTTATAGAGGTAGTATTGCTTATAATTTCAGCATTATATATTACTAAACATGTTTGGGAATTCAATAAATTGAATTAAATACTTGATTATGCAGGAATAATAGCTTTCAAAAATCATTCAAAAAGTTTTATTAGTACAATCAACTTTAATAATAACTCTAAATTAGAGATCTCTGAATAAAATTGTACTATAAAACTGACTTTATTAAGATACGGCCACATAGATGTGAAGAATATTGAAAACTGTACGCCTGTCATAAAACAGACAGCATTGCTAATCCATAGTGATGTCCACGGTGATTTTTTTTCATCCAAGCTTGCACATGGCAAGGCATGCCTGAAACTCAAATCTTTATTGAATTAAATTAAACAACTAAATTAATAGACAAAAATGCAAGTTAGAAGTATTTTGATTGAAGGAGTCTAATTAATTATATGCTAATTTCAATTACAGCCAACATTTTGAC